CCAGCAATCGGTGGGTGCATCGTTACAGGAAGAAAGTCATAAATTTGAAGAAGCTCTAACTTCTAACAAACAGGGGCAAATACCAAAACAGCATTATAAAAGACAGGAAAACCCATGCTACTCCCTGCCCTTTTAGGAAAAAGCACGTATACAGAACATGCGGCAAGCATATCAAAGAAGTTGCGCAGATGCGAGAAAAATAAAAATAAATCAATAATGAAAACTATGATATAACAGCAACTGTGAGTAAATAATTTACGTTTAATTTCTTAGAATACAACATTACTGTACATAAAAAATCACAGCATGTAATAAAGAATAAACAAGCATCATCTTATTTAATTAATGCAGTGGCTGAAAATAAAATACAAGCATATGTAACACGGTAACTGGGTTAAAATAAAACGAATAAAATTCGACAATTAATTTCTTACAATAGGTAAAAGTTCGCATCACACCTTTCACCTTGTGACGGCACACCGGTTGCCGAACACTGCCTTAGTGTGTAGAATGTTGCTGCAGTTTCAAGACCATCGCTGTTTGTGAGGACGACAGATAAGGCCGACCTCTGTAGGACATTTCGCAAACCATGATGGACGGGGATAAAAATTACCTGTTGCGGTGGAGACGTGATAGTAGAGCGTAGCAGAGTACGGCAGAGCAGTTCATCTGTGGCGAAGGAGGTGCGTGCTTCGACTGAAATTGAAAACGCTGTTCTCGTGTTAGTGTGGTTTTCAACATGGGAAAAACGCCAGCGGTAGGAATCGATCTTGGTACTACGTATTCCTGTGTAGGCGTTTGGCAACATGGAAAAGTGGAAATCATTGCAAACGATCAAGGGAATCGAACAACACCAAGTTATGTAGCATTTACTGATACTGAACGCCTAATTGGCGATGCTGCGAAGAGTCAGGTACGTACTTATGAAATGCATGAAAATAATCGACATATTAACATTTCCGATAGGGAAGTTGGACCGCCTCTGTGGCCTAGTGGTCAGAGTTCCTGGCTACAGATCCAGAGTTCCCGGGTTCGATTCACGGCGCTACCAGATTTTCTGAGAAGTAGTAGGTCTGGAACTGGGTTCACTCAGCCTCGTGAGGATAATTGAGCTACATGAATGGAAAAGTAGCAGTCCCGATGTAGAAAACCGAAATTAACGGCCCCGGGGTTGCGTTGCGCTGACCCCGCGACACACACTATCCTCTAAAGTTGGTACTAATTTCGCCGAAAAGCAGCGGTAGCTTGGTCGGTATAGTTCGCTTGCGGACTGCAGGCCACGGAGTTTGTTTTGTTTGTTTTTGATAAGGAAGTTAAAATTATTTGTCATGGTTGATAGCTGTAAGTAAAACACGTATAAAGTGGGCACGGGATAATAATATTGTATGTTCAGCCTTGTTAGCTGTAAATTAAATCTAAATTCAGTGACAGTATATTGCAAAATTGTTTCTCCTACTGAAATAGCAAATCCGCTTTCTTGGCTCTCATTATTCTACATAAAAAAATTGTTTAGTTATTTAGTGTGTTGTACACCGTAAATGATTGTTTTGGTAAAATCCACAACAATGATTCAAGGAAACTGATGCCACGTTTGACTTGTTTCCGGTTTAAAGTTAAAATGTTTGGGTTTTTAAATTTTGAATATAAATCGGAGCAATGTGCAAAATTGGCGCGCAAATTCATATTCTCCCTTTACTGTAACACCCTTATGTCTGTCAAACCTTTGATTTGTCGAAAAGTATGCCAACAAGCCCATTCAAGATGATAACATTGAGCAGATATTTTATCAGCAGCTGTTAAAAACAAGGATATCCGAACTCTCTCTTGTGACCTTGCTTAGAAGGGCGTTGTGAAACGTTTCATACATGAATGATCGAAAATAATAATAAGAGAAATGCCTGACTCAGACCTATTTAGTAACATTATATTTCAGCATCGCGTTGCATTGAGGCAGTATCCTTACTATGAAAGTACACGTCAATAATGCAACAATATAAAAGACATTAAGAATATGGCACTCACTAAAAATGTGTTGTAATACTTTATGACGTTAAAATCATTAAAATGTTAATAGGACACTAAAAGTATATTTTATACATTAAAAGTGATTATCGAAATTTCTGGAATGTCTCTGGTTTTACATGTATTTTTCTAGTTTTTTACGACATGTTTCGGCCTCACATGGGCCATCATCGGTTAATTTTTTTTTTTTGGCTGGAGACCACTGCACTGCTCTTATTCGCAAGTGAACACTTCTGGACAATGCTATTTAGTAAGGAATGAAGCACTGAAGAACCATGCCTATCCATAATTCCATTATCCGAGTCTGGCAATAGTACTTCCTGAGTTATGTAAACTCTTACACAGGCAGCTAACATATTTTATAGCCAGTTATGCTCTTCATCGGGGCATGCGGTAGCGTAGCTGGTTGCTGCACTATGCTACAAGCCGAAAGATCGCGGGTTTGATTCCCAATGAGGTAATTGGAGTTTTTCAATTTACCTAGTCCTTCCAGCCACACTATAGCCCTGGGTTCGACTCAGCCTCTAACAGAAATGAGTACCAGGAATCTTCCTGGGTGTAAAGGGCAACCGGGGTGTAAAGCTGAAAATCTCACCGCCATCTGTGAGCCAGTTGTCTGGAAAATGTGGGCGTCTCGACGTCTCACTACCCTATGGGCCTCCACGGCTTGTTACAGGGATAGAATTGCTTTGTTCATGCTTTTCATCTTAATAATTTGATAGTTAAAATTTCCTGTTGTAAGATATGCTCGGAAAAGTCTGCTTTTCTCACAGTTATTTGAAGACACTGTGAAAGCTGTTAAGTTAATATATCGCCAACCTTGCTAATGACGGGAAAGTAATGGAGATAAGGGATTGAAGGGCAGGAAGAGAGAGAGACAGACAGAGAGAACATGAGAGAGAGAAATCTAAGGACATCTGATGAAGGCCTCGTAAAGACAATTGTACATCTCATGCCTAATTTGGCTAACTGAAATCGGGGTCGTAATTATAAGAGGTCAAAGCATTACGTTTCAGATAGAAAATAGAAACCCATTGTATCACCAACCACGAAAGTATCTTCAAAGTCACTTGGAACTTGGATAGTCATGGCTTTCGTCCGTTGGCTTTGGAGATGAGAGAGAAAGAGCAATTGAAGAATGAAGAAAATTGAATTTTGAAGAGCTTCATAATTTATACTCGTGCCTAAACAAAGTGGTCAAATCAAGAAGGATGAGTTTAGTGGGAATTAACGAGCAAAACACAGATGAGGAATATAAGAAATGCAAAAAAGTGAAAACCCTGATTACAATAAACCAGTTATTCCCAAACTTCCTGATACGTCGGCCCAGTAAATTCCTTTTTTATAAAGCGAGAGACCGGTATAATTGATATCAGGGCCGGTACCAGGTCGCGGCCCGGCGGTTGAGAAACACTACAATAAACCACGAAACCTGATAAATTGTACAAAATATATTAAAATCAGTGAAGAAAACATGAGGGACGCTGCCTCATACATAATTAGAACTGTATCAAAGTCATGCAGCCCTGCTCTAGGAACTTGCCTGATGATGGATAATCTCACTTTATGTGTGGAAAGAGGAAGCCGGGCAGTTCTACAGCAGACTACAGGTAGACTATAGAAAGCCACTAAGGGCTCGAACACACACAGCGACGTCAGTCGTACGACGTCCGTACGGTTCATGTCGCATCAAGTAGTGAATATAAAGTGTAGTCTTAGTTTTCATACGTGACGACGTGCGACATCTACCGTACGGCAGTCGGAGAGCAGTCGGACCAAACCACAACTTCGTCTCGTCTTTGATTGGTTGGATGCACCCAGTGCAGTCTTTCCTACTGCCTCCGTTATTCTTTTCGGCGTCCGTGAAAATACCACATAGCAAGTACGCGCTCTCGGTCCATCGTTCATTGTTCCTTCATAAAAACTGCGATTCGGTGCTGATAAAGTCGCTCTAGTATGAAAAGAAGGTCGTACGGCAAAAAAAAATCGTACGCCATTTTTCCGTAAGACCGATGTCGCTGTGTGTGTGTTCCTAGCCTAAGGGTGTTTCGAGAACGTATCTGCAACAGAAGTCTCCCATAAGCTTTGAAATATGTACGAAGAATTATTGACCGTATCCCAGTTTATTCCAGAGAATTTGGAATTGGATTTCACAAATGAACTTAATAGTCACACACCAGTCGGATTTCACTTCTAGTAATTACTGTATGAGGTCTGATGTTTGTCAGAATGGTTTGTCCGCCATTGGAACTAAATAATGAATTTAATGTAATTATATAGAGGTAGAAGGACCATCTCAATGTAACTTAGGCACAGAATAATGATTTTGCATGAGGTGTACATTAAATTAGCGATACTGCGATATAAATAGGTTATAATGAATTATGTTAAAAAGTTTTCATCTAATAACGACGCATATTTTAATGCAATGTGAAAGACAATTATCTGCCACAGATTGCGGTAGGAAGTTTACACAAAAGACGAACTAAACGGTGCACTAAAAGGCCTTAAGAATGTTCGAAATTCTGAAACGTGGCGAGCGCCAGTATGGCTAGCAGACAAGGATTCATAACACTGATGAAAACAATAGACTTACTTCACGTCTGTGAATAAAACAAAAATGATCCAGTTCACGATGGATGTACTTATGGGGTATATTGAAAATTGTGCAAGTAGGCAGGCCTGTATAAGGAAAATTAAGCCTAATGTATTTATTAGTTTTAGTACTTCACCCCCTGCCGGCTCACCATTTTTGCGTTCCGGCTTCCTGCCATATGTATAGAGTGCTGTTAGGTTTCAGGAAAACCATGGTAAATAAAGTGTCACTTGGTAGCATTCACTGATATGTATTTGTATTATCATTCGTTGGTACACTTTTCAAAGCAGATACGAGAGACGTTTCGTTTTCTCCTTGTCTAAACAGAGTAGACTATAAATATTTCACGTCAGTTGATTCGTAAGTTATTTAACGATTCGATTTCATTTTCAGGCGTTCGGTAAAGTCAAAACAGGTTTGCTGATTACGACAACAATATGCTACGTAGGCGTAGTGGTTAAGTTAAGGGAGGAAGCGCTCAGGAACTATTTAAAAATAATCTCCCACTAAGACAGACACATTACATTTGAGCTAACCTGCGCTGTGACTTCACATCATGTTTTGCCAGTTGCAATATAAATGATCAGTAGATTCGAGTCTGTGATGTACATGTTCTTTACAGACTCACAGATTGCATTTGTAAGGAGATCAATGTTAAGCTGGATTTGTTACATATTAAGAACAATTATCAATGATTATAATGATATATAAAATATATTAAAACTGAAGTCGAAATAATACATTTCAAAACAATTAAAAAGCAGCATTCGTTCTTTGAGTCCTTATTTGGCTCTGGTCCATGTGGTTTACCATCAGTTTGATGTCAGTGCCTCTAAAAGGCAGTGGCCTGCTCACTAGGTCACATACATGCTGTTGCAGAATTCATGGTCATCTGACTAGTTAGTGAATTTGCTGTAACGCTTGTTCTGGTTAACTACATGTTTAAGTCATGATGCTCAGCAGAAGGACAACAACCTGCTTGAGAATTTCGATGTGTAACTACCTAATATGGTTTTCTAACTCACGAATGACAGTCTGCGATATCGTTGCTCGAATACAGCGTGATGTTAATATCTGTTACTACTCACGTTGAATATGTAGTTCGACAACCGACTGTCTGTAAGTCTCATGCAGCATTATGCTTATGCAATAATATGCGACAACTTGTACCGACAGATGTCGCTCACCCGCATTCAACTTCTAACATCGTCCCTGTACCAGGCCGTGAAGGCCCATGGGGTTGTGAGACGTTGAGGGGAGAAGAGGAATGCATATAGGATATTGGTGGAAAAGCC